AGAAGGGTTTGGGCGGGTTTGGGCTTCGGGACTTTAAATTGTACTACACTCTCAATTGAGGTTTTGTTCCCCACCACTCTCCTGGTGAGGTTTAATATGGCGCTTAAATCCGCCACTTCAGTTTTGACCACTCCAAGGGTTGCTCTCAAATCTTGAGATAAATCTGAGACCATCTAAAAGATCACTTATTGGGCATTTTCTAAGCCCTCGACGTATTCTTCCATTCAAGTAACAGAGCACGTCGAGCTATCTCTACGCTCAAAGCCACCAACAGTTGTGGCCTTGTCTTCTAGGGCCTCAACCCTAGTCATTAATTCGCTGACAAGCATTGCCTCAAGGCAGCCTACCATCTCATCGATCTTGTCAGCTTCAGCAGCAATCTCATTCATGCGAGACTCTCAAAGCCTCATTCCATCATGAACTTCATTCATGTAGAGTAGTTGTTCTTCGATTTCAGCTAATCGTTCAGCCTGGGACTTGCCCAATTGTTTTGTAGTGGACATGATTTTGGACTAGTTTTCAAGGAGCCAACTCGACTCTAATACCACTTGTCACAATTGCACTCTTGCAACAGCAGGACAATGATTTTGCGACACTTGTCCTAACCCAACAAAATTTGGACTTTGCAGACAACGTAGACGTATGCTCGACTTCTGGAGTCACGTTTGCGAGAAATATTTTAGAAAATGTGAGCGAGAAAACATATTTGAAAATAATTTGAGAGAATTGAAGAAAACTAACGTTAGTTATATGGCTATAAGAAAAAAAAAATATCACAACTTAAATAGCATAAGGGTAGGAAGAATTCACAACTAGTTATCATTTTATATTACATTTTGGGGTATTTTAGCCGGTAGGTATAGACATAATTTTGGCAAAGGATCATAAACTCCCATATTAACACAACATGAAATAGTAAAGACTATTTTTCTTAGACAAGCATGACCGAGACATTTGACAAGCGGCCATAGACAGCACGTCTTGGATAAGTATGACGGTAACAACTCAAGCCCACCGTTAGCAGATATTGTACTTTTTGGGCTTTCCGCTTTCCCTTTCGAGCTTCCTTCAAGGTTTTTAAAATGTGTCTTCTTGTGAGATATTTCTACTCTAATGTTTTGTCCTACTCTCTAATCAATGTGGGATCTCGCAATCCACCCCTCTTTAAGGCCCAATTCCTCGCTCGCCCTCGCTTCCTTCTCCAATCTATGTGGGGACCCCAAATCCACCTCGTTTGGGGCCCAATGTTTGTGCTGGTACACCACCTCGCGTGTACCTCTTTTGGACTAAACCTCCTCGCTGACACATCGCCAGTGTCTAGCTTTGATACCATTTATAACAAACCAAGCTCACTGCTAGCAGATATTGTCCTCTTTGGACTTTTCCTTTCAGGCTTTCCTCAAGATTTTAAAAACGTGTCTGCTAGAGAAAGATTTTAACCCTTATAAAGAATGTTTCGTTCTCCTTTCCAACCGATGTGAGATCTCACAATAACCATGACACTCAAGAGTTGCGCTGTCACAGAGGGGTGTCTACCTGTGGCGTTAGGTCTGTTTGTTTACTTTGGATTGTCACTTGTAATCATGTTGTACTCCCCCTTCCGTTCCCTATTCAAAATTAACTTTGGCAACACCTATTTTGTTATGTATTCAATAATGTTACATATTTTTGAATTTTGTACTAGGGTATTGTATGAACTTAAATCAAGCAAAACTTTACTATATTTTCATTAATTTTATATTTTTGCTTTTGTTTTAATTATTATATTTATTCTTTTAGTCATGATCAAAGATTCAAATATTCGAACTTTCAATTTTGTACTAGGGTCTCGTCTTGCCAAATTCTTCCATCATTTCTCCATTTTTTCTCTCTTATTAGATATTAGAACTTTAAATAAAAATGACAATTAATGGAACACAAAAGTTTATGTTAAGTTTAAAATCTCACAAAATTCATTAAAGTACCAAACTAAAAATATTTCCCCTTAAAACTCATATGAATGATGAATCACCAAATGCAGACTAACACAGGAATATCATTTTTTAACATGCACAACTTTTTTAATTAATCACATCAAATACACTTATTTGAATTATAATATAACAACCCTAGATTTCTATTAACGTAAAGTCGTTATTGCATAGCTAACGTAATTATTTTATATGAAAATAATCATTTGAAACATAATCATAAATCATTGTCACGGACTTATTAAAAGTTCTTTAAAAGATTTAACATAGACATAAGTAAAATAAAACAGAATTATCCTATAATAGACTTCTACTTTTATTAAAGATCTCGTACTCTATTTTTAGAGAAAGATATTGTTCTACCGGAGTTGTTTTAAGTTACTATTCTATACTTTCATGTCATATTTCCATTTGTTTTATTTTTTAATTATGTTCACTAAATTTTCATTTTTTTTTCTCTGTCTTTACCTTTTCTTATTTATGTGTTTTCTTTTTTTTTTCTTTCTTCTTTTAATTCGGTTAAGAGTTTAATTAATGTTAACAGATATTCTTAGCTAATCCAATTAACTGATATTCTTAATCAATTTTTTGATAAATTAATTTAATTACTTATTGATTTACTAGAATTCATATAAAATTATTATTTAATTTTAATTCAAATCTACGTAATTGCAATAATTTAGGAAATATCTCAGATATAATTGAATGTGATTTCATAAAAATGAAATGAAAAAAAAAAAGAAAAAAATTAATATATACTTTAACAAACTAATCACTTTTTTTTTTTTTAAAGTAAATCTCATGCCATTTTTATTTTTTTTCAAATCTAACCTTTTTTATTTTTCTATTTCATTTGGCAGTAATTGTGATATTCTAAAAGAAGTTGGTTGAAGGATAATTGAAAAAAGAGATGAGAAATTAATAATGAAAAATGGGAAAGAGATTTTATTTATTATTATTATTTTTTACATACTCTGTTTTTTCAATTATTTTTATTTGTTTATTTATTTATTTTTATTATTTTATGCATTAATTTTATTTTTTTTTTAAAAAAAGATCTACTTATTTATTTTTTTCTTGATACAACAAATGTGAATAAAAAAAAAATGTAATATCTCATCTTAAAGAAATAGTGCATGTCAAACTATCACTAAGCTATATCCACCTTAACATATAAATATACAAATGTCATATGATTGTCTTATAATGTCTATGTTAGCGAAAGAAATAGACTTGACGTCTATTGATTTTTACATGTGCAGGTTGGAATTCTATTATTTGACGTTTTATTTTTTTCGAAATGTGCTAAAAACATAAAAAAAAACACACAATTATATGTTTGGAAAAATTAAAATGATGTCAAACTCAACATAAATTAATGCATCGAACAACCATCCATCTGAAGAATGACTTTTGTATATTTGTATGCTATTTTTCTCTATTGGAGGTGGTTTAGAACTCGAGAAGGAAGACATGATTCACATATAATACAACATCATACAACTATGAAAAATTATTTATTTTTGACCTCGCGTTTTTTTTTATCCATACATGTTAAATGTGTCTTAAAAACATGAAAGGCAACATCATAAAGCTATAATCATTAAGAAAAAAAAAAACAAAAAAACAAATTCATCAACGATAACAAGGAAAAATTGTAACATAGTTCAACATTATTGCTATAGAACTAAAGACAACTAAATACCGTCACTTCTTGAGAATTGGTTAATCTAGAGAAAGTATAAGGATAGATCATGAAATTAAAAAAACAATAAAAGTTAAATAGATTTACTTAAACAAAATAGTTGGTCCAACTTATGCCTCAACGAATTACGAACCTTAGGAACTTACAAGATTGAGAACCAAAAACAATACCGCACAAGCTCTACAACTATCAAAGTAAGAAGAATGCTAAGTACCACTCAAGAATAAAGAATCAAGGTCCTCAAACTCAAAAACTCAAGAATGCTAGGTAATATTTTAATCATGTCCAAAGTGACCCATGACCTCCCACCAAGCGATGCTTTCTAAGGCTCAAGAATTTCTCTTCTAGGTAGGATGCCCTGCACCATATTTCCTTTGTGGGATGTCATGTTTGGCCTCAAGTTTCCCATCTAAATCTAAATCAAAATTATATAATATATATATATATATATATATATATATATCTCAAGTTTCCCATCTAAATCTAAATCAAAATTATATAATATATATATATATATATATATAAATAATGTATATTTTATAATTAACAAATTCAGATTGATTTTATAATTCAGTTTGAAAAACATCTATAAACAAACCCAACCTAAATAAAGAGAATATTTTGGATTATTGTGTTTTTTTAACCTCTTAATTTCTTTTATCTATTATTATTTTGAAAAAAATCTACATTAATCTTTTATACGTTGAAAAGGTAGAGATAATACTGATTCATTAAAGTGGTATCGATAAGTAAACCCTTTTCATAGTATTGATAAATGGAAGAAACTTGTTTACGATGACTACTTTGTAATCACCGAGTTCCTTCAGCATGTGACACACACACACCGTAGATATAATGTTTTTGAAGATTTACTGAACTTGTAGTGATTTAATACCTATTTATCTTCATTTTCAATATAAATGTAATTTTTTTCTTTTTTGCTATTATAATAATTTTTTTTTATATATACACTATTATAAAAAACTATCATAATTGTCACTCGAAATCAAAGGTTTGAATCCTAGTTGAATTAAAAATATTAATAAAATAAATAATATTTATTTATTTATTTTTAAAAAGTGGCATGTTATATTATTTAAAAGAGTAAATAATAACATTTCATGAAAAGTCTATTGACCTCGTTATGCCTAGTTTTAATATTTAGATTACAAATTTAAAAAAATAAATTGTGAAAAACTTGATTTAAGATTGAGAATTATTATAATTAATAAAATAAAGGGTAAGAGTGAATTATTGGAAAATCATATATTTAAAAGAAAAATAAATAGAAAATATAAATAGTAATTTCCAATTTCGAAGCGAAAGGAGGACGAGAAATGAAGTTCCAGTCCTGAGCTCCCAACAGACAACAAATCAAAATCAAAATCAAAATCAAACGGAGAAAGCCTCTGACCGTCTGAGAGGGTCATTGCTTCCTCTCTGAGACCATGAACGGCGGCCCCTCTGGTTTCAGTGCGTCCTCTTCAATTTCTCTCCTCTCTTCTCTTCTCTTCTCTTCTCTTCTCTTCTGATGCTTAACCACCCACTTTCTCCCTTTTCAATTTCTGTTCCACCTTGATTCATTTGCTCGTGTTCTTTTCTCTTTCGCAGACAATGCCCCTGTCACCCGGACCTTCATCATTGCCTCCGCCCTTTTCACCGTTTTCTTCGGGATCCAAGCCCGCTCTATTAAGCTTGGCTTGTCCTATCAGGTACTCTTCTCTCTCTTTCACTACCCAGATGCTTTTTCGCCAACTGTGGGTTGGTTTTATGTTCGAGACTAGGGTAGATTCGCTTCTTCGGTTAAGACGAGCCCTTTGCTTGGTTGAGTGTTTGACCTTCGATTCCGCGATGTATTGAGCATATACCCAGATTATAGATCGAATCGGCCGAGTTAATTGATGCATAATTGAAACTGGGGATCCTCTTTTCCTCATGTATGTAATCACTTAGTTTAATCCACCTTATGGGCCTCTGCAATTCTGGCTTTGAATTGTATCCATCTTTAAGTAATTTTTTTTTTTTTTTTGTTGCTGGCTGAGGAGGGTGTAGCAGAAGTTGTCTCGTGGCTGGTTGTACGTTATGTGACTTGCCTATGAAATGTTTAGGTGTTCCTATCCGGAGATAATCCAAGTTCAGGAACATTTCTGGAGCCTGTTAGATATAAATTTTTGGTAGACTAAATAAGGATTAGTTCTAATTTGTGAAAAGAAGGTAGACTTTGGTGCAGTCAGTTCCTAAATAAGTCATCTAATGAGATATTACATCATGTCCCTTCAATAAATCCCTAGAAAGAGGATCGTACTGACATGGGAAAAATAATTGTGAAGATTTTTGCATGAGCTTAGGAAATTTGGCACAATGTTATTGTCATCAAATTCGGATGAAAGAGGCAGGTTATTTTGAAGTAAAAGAACATTAGTTGGTAACACCCATGGTCTTTCATCTTAAAGCTATGAACTAATTTTGTGAAATTTTTGGAATTAAGATGGTGGGACAATATTTGGTTGGATGGGCAACTCTTGAATGACCCTTTTCCAATGTTATTCTCTGTTGCTATAAAAATTGGAGGTTGGATTAGGATTTTCAGGATTTGGAGACGAGAAACTGGAGATTGTACTCGGAGCTTAGAAGAATAGGAAGTAGCCGAATTTTCAAGGCTGATTAGAGAGGTTAAATGTGGAACAATTAAGAATAGCTCAAGACAATAGAGGTTAGTGCTATATGCTTCAAGGGAATTTTCAACAAGATCTATGCTATTTAAAATTTTAGTGGCAGAAACAATCTTGGCAGAGCATCTGATTAAAGGAAAAATGGCAAATATCCATATCCACATGTATCTATATAAATATACATATTCATTTATGGGTATCCCTTTTTAAGCTATATTAATATATATTTATTATTATTATTATTATAGGAGTGAGGGTCTCACTATTGCTATATGTTTTAAGCTTCTTCACTATATGATGGGCTTTTTATACTATAAAGAGTAATGCCAAACAATTACTCAGGTCAGGTACTTTAGAGAAAGAAGGCAGTGATTCCATTTTAGGAGAAGTTTGGTTGGAGAGAAATTAAGGATTTGTATTAGACATAAGAAAAGGTGATGAGAAGGTTTTAACACTTGTTGTTGGTGCTCTTTGTTAAGCTCCTTTTTTCAGATACCTAAACCCAAGTAGATGCATTAAAATGTGCCCGATCTCAAATATTCTCCCATGATTTGTCAATTTCTGACGAGATTCTTCTGTTCTTTTCAATCTAATATTTTACAAGATTGAAAAAACTAGCTTGCCAGAGTAAACAACTTCATACCTAAACAAAGGACTCAAGATAGCTTCCTCTATCTTTCCATGAAAACGTGAAATAAAAAACATAGACATGCTAGCAATCTTCCATAATCGAGACCACAACATGGTAGCAAAAGGGCATAGCAACTATAATTATCTGTAGCCCCCTTCTCAAATGACAACAATTGGGGAAGGACAATACAAAATGGTGTGGCTAAAAAAGTAATAATTCTTTCTTAAGTGTCTGGAAAAGAACCATTTTTTTGTGGGATTGTAATCTTTTGAAGTTTTGAGAAGAAGTTAAGAGAAGAAAGGACTGGAGCATGGAGTAAAAAAAACTAAATGATTGTTCTAATACTTGCAAGTTTATAACTACAAGGAGAAAGTCCATACATGACTATGTCTGTGTTTTACACTTTTATCCTTTTTTCTTCTTATATCATATTTTTGGGGCTAAGGAATGAGAAAGACCTTTCCCTTGCATCATGATTTCAATTTCATTTTGTTCGAAAAGATCCAAGTTTGTCTCAACAATGTTTTTGTCATTCCAATCGTGTTCCATTAAATAGGAACAACCAAGCTGATAAAATTTGATAACTCTCAGATGGAGAATTAGAACGAAAAATCCATTAGATGACAAATTTTGGTTCTAAGGCATCTCAGGCAGTGAATCAAATCCATGGTGCAAGGTTTTCTTATTAACATGCAATATTGATTTAGAAAAGTGAAGTGGAAATTGGAATTTTTTTATTTTTCTATAAACCAATATTTTTTCATAATTTTTTTGTGTTGATAAGAAACAAGATATGATGTGTGAGAGGAAAGAAATATTTTCATGCACGATATGAAAATGTTATGAAAGATGGGAGGAGAGCCAGGCACGAAACTTCCTGTTGCCCATGGGAACATTGAGGCTAGTGTAAAGGGAGGTACACCAAAAAAGAGCCAAGAAAAGAGAACCAGATTTAAAAAACAATCAAAAGTCTCTTAGGAATCAGTATCATTGTTCCTTTTTGGCCGATTCCTCCTATGAATAAAAGGACCTACCTTGAAAGAGTCTAGATATATGTAACCACAAAAGAAGAATTACAGCCAAAAAGGCCAGAGAAAAGAGGGAGGAAGCTTCGATCTCCGTCAATATAAGTTGTTCAAAAGATTACTATATTACGAACTATTTAGGATAGGCACTCCACTTCAAGCCCTATGCTGTATATTTCGACTCAAATGTAATTTTTTTTGTAGCATCTTTATAAATCCTGTCGGTTCTTTCCAACCCAAAATTTGAATCCAAACCTTTAGAAATGAATACTGAAACAAGGAGCTGCCTTTGTCCCTATATTGCTGTGGGTGTGTGAAGGATTTCTACAATAGAAGTTTTAGATGAATGCTCTTTTATTACTTGGTGGTTACGGGTTTAATTTGAAAGGGAAAGAAGTTGGAACTAGTTTACTTGCTTGTAAGATTGGAAATGGGAGGTTCTTTGTACAGGAACCAGTATTTTATGAAATTCTTTATAAGATTCTAATATAATGAAGTCGCAGTGGTAGGAAGTTTTTGTTTAAAAGTTTGGACGGGACATGAATTTGAATAAGCTGCGCTAAAGGGATCCACTGGTAGAAATATTATTTTTATCATTTTAACTGCTGCTATTCCATCTTTGTTGCATATATAATCCTATTATATCGGACTTAAAGTCGACTTATTTTGTCCTTTTTCCATGATAGAGATTACCTTAATTTGTGTGGTAGAAAGGACACTTTTGACTAGTTAATTGTCATCCTTATGGCAGGATGTGATTGTGAAGCTTCGCTTTTGGAAGCTAGTGATGTCAGTCTTTGCCTTTTCATCTACTCCTGAATTGTTGTTCGGACTGTTTTTGCTTTATTACTTCAGAGTATTTGAGAGACAGATAGGCTCCAACAAATATTCGGTAAGTTTTATTCAATTCATACTGCAGGATTTTATTAAAACATGTCATAATGAAGCAACCAATCACGATCTTTAAATTGATGGGTCACATTAATACAATGCAGTGCCTGATGTATTAACTCTTGTAACCATGTAGTTGTTTATCTTCAATGAATAGAAGCATAAAAAATCAGAAAGTGTATAAAAGTAGATGTAGTATAAGTTTTGTGGTCATACATGTGATGCCGTATTCATTAGGAATACTGAAAATGGTATTGAATTAATACTATGCCCCTTCTGATAACATACTAATCTTCCTAACATATCCATTACTAGTACCGACAACATTTTTGTGGTCATTGACATGACAAAGTGGGCACCTATATTTGAAATAGTTTATTTTTTTTCATTCCAATTTGCTTCATAGAATAAGGTTAGCAGACTGAATTTAGTACGATCATTGCCTTTAGTTTCTATTCTAGAAAACAGATACGTTTGGGTCAGGAAGTGTGAGTCATGCTTGCATGCTAATATTGACGGCGATAATTTGTTAATTATAACACTCTTCACTCCAATTGTCAAACATATTATGTTGTAGTTTTTGTGCTCAAAACTCTTTTTCCCCCTTTAGTTGATGTGTATTTCTCCGTAAAGAGATTTATGTTAATATTCTGTCGTTTTGCAGGTCTTTACCTTGTTCTCTATAATAATCTCCCTACTTTTTGAGGTCCTTGCAATATCATTACTTAAAGGTATGCATTTTGGTTTAATCTACTAATATGCTTGGGCAGCTAGCACAATTCAAGCTCATGTTTGATTATTGGTTTGATGTTGTTTAACATCCCTTTCTTTTTAAATTTTTAGAGGTGAACTCTCCTTCTTTCCCTTCTTTTTCTCCTGTAAAATTTGTTAACTTGGATTGGAAGTCCTTCCTGATCTTTCTGGCATTTTCGCTTGTAAGCCTTTGTATACCCATCTAGTTTCTTCTCTCTCTACTTATCTCTTCAGAAACCTTTGAAAGTTGATAATCCGAATGAAATTCCATTTTTTTTCCCTGATTGATGGCTTTAGGAAGAATTAACACCTTGGATTTTATCCAGAGAACCCATTACTTTGTCCTTGGCCCCAATTGGTGCTTTATGTGCAAGGGGCCTTGAGAAGATTTTTAACCGTTTGTTATGGCTTTGTTTGTTTGATTCTCTGTTGTGGAGTCAGTTTTGGCATATTTTTGGTTCCTACCTGAACATCTGTATGATGGTGGTGCGACATTTGATCCTCAATTTTGGGATAAAGACTGTTATTGCAAGCTTGCTTTTGTGTTGGTCTTTGAAGTATTTGGTTTGAAGGAAACAGGAGAGCCTTCATGGTTTTAGAACAGTTCCTTCCTAGACATCTTCTGACCATTCCTCTTAAGATATCCTAATTCTACGAGTCTTGAATCAAACAGCCACTTAAATTTGAGAGCTAGATGGAGATGGTGAGGTAGATCTTTGATTGTTATAGGAGTTTTTACAATCGGAGGGAGAGAAGGGCTAGGTTTTGTTTTTGTTTTGTTTGTTTTTATTTCAAGGGTTGAGTAGTCACTTAATCCTTCTATAATTTTTGGTATTTTCATTCATATCTCAACTATACAAAATATCATAATAAATACAAGGTACAGCAACTTATAAAAGAATGAATATTTTACCATAAACCAAATCTTAAAAGATACCTAGAAAAAAACAAAATAAAGATGAGATAAAATCCTAAAATACGAGAAACAAGGTTACCCTTAACTTTGACCATAATTTACAACACTCCCCCTCAAGGTGGATTGAATATATTATACAATCCCAACTTGCTATTCAAATCTTCAAGGTTAGGTCATTGTAAAAGCTTGGTAATAATATCTGCTAATTGTTGCTTGGGAATGGATGTGGACAAAGACACTACACTCGAAAACTCTAGGGACCAAATCAAGAGATTGAACACAAAGATGAGGAAATGATTGAAGGAAGACTTAATGAGGAGCAAGCATGTGGGATTGATCAATTATGTGGAAGTGAGATGACGATTCTTGCATTAAGCCACTCCATTTTGTTGATGAGTATCAACACAAATGCCAAGATAAAGAATTCCTTGAGTGATAGGTAATCCTCAAGACATAAACTAAAGAATTCTTTTGCATTGTCTATTTTGAGGACACAAAATTTGGTTTGATGTTGAGCTTTTGATCATATTAGGAAAATGTTTGAAATGTTGGTGAGCTGAAGATTTTTTTTCTTAACAAAGATCCATGTAACATAGATCATCAACAAAGGAAATAAGCTGTCGAGCCACAAAGATTTTTTTTTGAAGGGTCCCATACATTGCTATTAATAAATGAAAAAGGACTTGACAGTTAATAAGCAATGTATGGATAGGGGTTTCAAGTATGCTTGATAATCTGAAAAATACCACAATTGAACAATGTAAGATTTTTATTATGAAGAAGATTTTGAAACAATTTGGAGAAATATGAAAAATTTGGATGACCTAACTGATAGTGTAATAACACCATTTCACTATCTTTATTGATACAAGAAGAAAATTGATTACTGGAAACAAAGGAAGATAAAAACTAAGAATTGTCTCCAATTGCTAGTGAGCCTTGATCACAGTTGAGAGGATGAAGTCTGAAAAAGTTCAGCACTGCCAATTGTCTTCTCCAGTTCGAATTCTGCAAAAATATGTTAGTTTGGATTAAACTTAATCGCACATTTAAGATCACGTGTCAATTTACTTATTGAAAGTAAATTACAACCCAAGTCTAGCATATGTTATACAGAGTTGAGATATAAATTTTAAGTAACTCTAATGGAACTTGTCCCAACCACTTCGGAGTTTGACCCATTTGCAATTTTCACAAGGAATTGGAGGTGCCGACTTGATAGTTTTGAAATAATGATGCATTCCTTGTCATATGATATGATGCTCCAGTGTCTACAATTCAATTCCTTCCTTTACTAGTTAACAAAGCAGGAGGTATAACTTCCTGTGCATCCAGTATTGCTCCCTGGCCAATGATCTTTTGTTGTGCATCTATTTGTTATTTGCTAAATGGTGTTGACTTCAAATTGTCAGAATTATTCGGAGCTACGTTACCACATAGGCCCTACCATCATGATCATTGTGATGCTTAGGTTTCCAATTAGCAGGCTTCCCATGGATCTTTTAGCATGTGTCTTTTATATTACCCACCGTTTTGCAATGCCCACACCGAGGCCTCTCTTGTTTTTGCTTTTTGTCACTTTGTACCATTGAGTTAAAACTACGCTAGCAAGTACAAATGCTATCAAGAAAGTAGAGACTGATTCTGATTTGCCCATCATTGCACATTTCCTACTTTCTTCTCGCCTTACTTCAGAGAAGGCTTTGCGAAGAGTTTGGCAATGACTTGGTTCCCATGTTTCGGCCTCAAACTTCATCCAGATCGTTGATAAGGCCAAGAAGGAATTTGAGTGTCTCTTTTTGCTCAAGAATTTTCGTCTATTGAGTTGTATCATTGGCATACTTGTATAGACTTCAAATAAATCCACTTTTTTCCAATGATGGGAGAGAGTATTAAAGTAATCAGTAACAAATTGATAACCTCAGCAAAAATCATGAAGAATTGTTTCTATCCTAAACAATTCTAAAGTGTTCTTCTTACTAGAGTATGTTTCCTTGAGATTGTCCCAAATTTGATGTGTTGTTCCATACAGAAGAAAACTTTCACCTATCTCATCGGCTGTGTAATTAATTAACAACGACATGACCATGTTATTTTCTACTTTCCACTTCATGAATTGGGGATTAGTTGCTTTAGGCTGCACAATCTCTTTCGAGAAGTATGCATTCTTACCCTTGCCACATATGAACATCAAGACTGACTATGACCATTGGATATAATGTGGCCATTCAATGTGTGACCCGTAATATGGGCAAATGATGATGAATTATATGCTCCTTGACCATTAGAGATTGGTTCGATTGATTTGGAAGAATACATACTCATGAAAAATCGGACAAAAAGTAGTAATGAAGAACTAGGTCAAAAACAAAAAATTGCAGCAATTAGGTCAACAACAGTCTTTGGTGATAAGCAGTGACGATGTCAAAGGAGTCGGACATTAGTGATGGAGGAGTCAGCGTCGGAGGAGGGTGCTTCAGTCGCGAGTCGGTATCGAATGTGGGTGGTAGTCATGAGAAGCTCACAATCTTTCTATTTGAGTGTTAAAGGGAGGAGAACACCGCAAAGGCATCGTCAGAAACCAGGACTATTGACCATTAACCTTCTGTGGTAGTCGGATTAGTTGGAAAAGCCTTTTGGCCTTTGCATGAACGGTTTTATTGGTAAATTTATAAAGGTTAATAGGAGGTGGTTGAATAAGTTATTGTAGCATATTTCTTGAATTTGAAAACAGATGTTAAAGCTGACGTTAGCACCTCATTCCTTGGAAAACTGATTTCATCTAGATTAGGAACTTTATTGCTTTTTTAGCCTTTACAGTCATACAAAGATTGAAGATTCTATCATGGGTTGCTCCCGAACAAAGTTTCGATGGCTTGTTTCAGCTTATCTATAGTGCCTTCGTTGTTGGTTTGTCCAGAATGTTATAGTTCAATCTGGTGGCTGCTTTTGTTTGGAAATTGTTATTATGTATTGAATATAGATATAATAATTTTTTTAAAAATTGAGGTCAAGGTTATGATTGAACTTGTGCTTGGTTCGGGATGGAGAGATGAAATACACAATAACTAAGAAATTTCAAGATCGGGACTAGATGTAGTAGCATAGATAATAAAATTATGTAATTATAGTTGAAGAAAATTCAAGATCGGTACTAGATGTAGACTAGATAATAAAGTTTATGTAATTATAATTTTAAAAAATTGGTTGCAGTTTGGTTTTGATCTAGATGAAAGTAGATATGTACTAAAAATATGTAATAGGATTTATAAAATATGGAGTTGGGGCTACAGCTGAGATGTGGATGAAGACGTGAAATACATAATAAGAATAATAATTTCCTTTATAAAAAAACATAAAAACGAAGGATTGAGGTTGGATTTGATGCTGGAATGGAGTTCATCGGGATGAGGTTTAGACAGTGGAATACATAATAAAAGTTTTAAGAATGAGGCCACAGTTGGGGAACTGAGAGAGAAAATGAGATGTGGGGAAGGGGGATAAGATCTTCATTTGGTTGGTATCTGGTTTTAACTCTCATCATTTTCTCATTGGACATAAGTTATGTCAGCAATTTTGCAATAGAAGCTTTAGTATTGATTTTATCCCAACTTGTTAACATTGGAGTTCATTTTTGTTGCATCTTACATTCAGAAGAAATTTTATCAATTCATTTTTTCTTTTTCTTTCACAGATTTTAGCATTAGAATCTTAGGGAGAATATATATTTTAGCATTAGCAGTAAGTTCTAATGATTTTGACTTGGCTAACACTTTTCTTTTCTTTTTTTCTTTTTTTGGGGGCAGATCCTGCAGCCACTGCTGCCAATCTAGTCACTTCTGGACCTTATGGTCTTTTATTTGCTTCCTTTGTACCCTTCTTCTTTGATATTCCTGTTTCAACTCGGTTTCGTGTATTTGGAGTTCGTTTCTCTGACAAGTCTTTCATATATCTTGCCGGTCTTCAGGTTAGGAGTTTGCTTTATTTATATTTTTTTCTGATACCTCTTTCGTTTCTCTAGCTGTATAATCTAGTTTGTTGTTGATCTTGCAGCTCCTTCTGTCCTCGTGGAGAAGATCCATCTTACCAGGGATATGCGGCATTCTTGCTGGTTCCTTATATCGTTTGAATGTATTTGGCATCCGCAAAGCCAAGGTTAAATTCAAAATTTGCATAAACACATTGCTTCCTTCGTTTTCTATCTGAAATTATGATTCTGGTATATTAAATTGTAGTTGGGGCTTTTCAGTATCTGGTTAAACTGTGGAAATTAAACTCAGGATGAGGTGATTTATTGCCCTTCAACCTTTACTAGTTTAGAAGGGATGAATTATGAATATTTTGATACCTTTTCTCTCTGCGGCACCATTTCACTGCATGCATATACAGGACTCTTTATGCAGAATTTGAGTTAAAATCTTCATTTGAGTTTTTGATTAGCTAATTACCATCAGCCTCCAGGTTGTCTCCCAACAATAATGCTCCTATTCTTAACATTTTGAATGGAATTGGTACACCTTAGATGCTTCTGACTTGCTCAAGGACCCAACTGCTCTAAAATTGTGTCTTATCTTCACTATTCTGGTTGGTTATGGACCAGACCATTTGGCTTGGCTTCATCTATCTTCAAATAATATAAGAGGCGTTTCTTATGCGAATAAAAAAAAATGAATGATAGGATCTGTCTTTCGTGCTCAACTTGTCTGATTACTTCTACAAGTCTCGTCCTCTTAAAGCCTCATATATATCGACAGACTTGCAAGATCTTCTATAATATTCTGATGTTAGAAACTTTGATCTTTTGTATGATGATTTCATTCTTTTAATTGTTTCTGTTCATTTTGAGTCAGTTTGATGAATGTTCTCTTATTTTTCTATCATTAGGTAATTTGTAATTTTCTAAAGAATGTTATTGTATTATTTTCATGCTTCACAGTTTCCGGAGTTCATCAGTTCATTTTTTTCGCGATTTTGTTTGCCATCTGTGGGGAATCCTCCAGCAGCCCCAAATAGAGATGTTAGAGGAAATATGCCATCATTCATGAGCCGCCAGGTTGAGGTTAGTACATTTGGCGAATGCTTCTATCAGCTATTAGTTTCAACACATATTTTGATAAGCTACACCATTTGAGGAAGAGATTTTGACTATTTAATAGATTTCTCGTCTGCTGACCAACTTTTAGGCATGAGACTATGCCATCGTAATTGTGAGATTGTGGGTACTTGCTAACGTTATAGTCCTTAAAATAATTTATTTGGATGTAGTTAACGAGTACATGGGTGGCATGAAAAACGCAAGTTTTGCACTTCAGCCTCTTAACTGGTTTATTTTGTGTTGTGCTATTATAGAGGAACTTCACTCCTGTGCCAACTGCCTCAGAACCACCGGAGGACTCCATTGCTACCCTTGTTTCGATGGGCTTTGACAGAAATTCAGCCAGGCAGGCACTTATGCGGGCCAGAAATGATGTTAACATGGCAACCAATATCCTTCTTGAATCACAATCGCACTAATTTCATGAAAAAAATTCTGGGTATTATGAAACCTTTGATCTCCACAATTCCGAGAACAATCAAATTCAGTATCAAGGGATGATGGTCGGACAAACTTGCATTTGCTGACATCTGAGTTTTGATAGGTTGCAGGAACTCACCATGCAATTTTCATTAACTCTTACGAGTTCCCTTTCTATTCCTCTATCTATCGTAGGTGTGAAATTTTCTTGCTACGTGATGTCTGATTACAAAAAAAAAAAAAAAAAAAAAAAAAAAAAAAAAAAAAAAAAAAAAAAAAAAAAAAAA